AACAGTTGTATTTTAAACCCTTCTAGAGATTGCTGTGTAGTGCTCTCACTATTTAAAAATTATTTTCGATTTCTCTTTGACAGTAGACATGGATAGGTATTGTGAAGATTTCACGCCCAATTCAGTTCTTAAATGTTACTTTAAAATTTTGAAATCCGAATGTTAGGTCTGGCTCCGATGGTACTAAGTCAAGTAGGTGGAGAGACTAGAAAATACCCTACATATCTCAAGCTCAAGGGCACTCTTTAAGGGTTCGAACCGTTCCAGCATGATACCAATTGAGCTAACAGCGCGGCAGTTATGTCCGTCTGTTAACGATTAAGGGCAACCCCACCCACCCCCATCCTTACCCGTTTGCACAGACACAGACACACATACAGACACACACACACACAAACACACAAACACACACACATACACACAATCACACAATCACACAATCACATACACACATACACAATCACACATACATGTCTAGGCAGACTGTTGGATTATTTTCATGACTACAGTATGATCTAACTGATTCAGAGAATCATACAGTCAAACAGACTGCGGTAAAATGATAAAATCCTCTGTCTTGCTAGAACACCTTCAAATAAACATTGTTCTTCTTTTAAAAAAGTAGAAGACAGAATGACAGACAGACAGACTGACAGACAGACAGACAGGGAGACAATAACAGAGAGAAGGGGCGCCTGTGGTGTAGCGGTTCAGGGCTTCACCGTCGCACGCAGAAGACGTGACTTCTATTCCCGTGGTTGGCCCAGACCGGCTGAGTTGAAGCAGATCGCTTCTTAAATTTGTTGGTTGGGGTCTATCTAAAACATAGAGTTGATCTAAAACATCTTCTAAGAGACAGACTGAGAGAAGAAGAGACAGTCTGTCTTTACGCGTGAAAACGCACGTATGAATGGAAGTTTCAGGATTTTCACAGTATAATGTTTCTTTTATATTATTGTGTTTTTCCCTAGATGCGATTTCTGTGGACACGTTCTTCCATGTATGGGCCCCTTTTATTGGAGGGTGAGTACTTTTGACCTGGCCTGGGAAAGTGGAAAAACGTCACGCGCAGGACCTGGAGATTTTAAAACTTGAATTTTTATTATATCGTCGACAACAATATTCGGTTGTATAAGCTTAAAGCCCAATTACAAGCACAACTTTTAAAAGATTGAAATTTTAAAAAGATTGAGACAGTGTTATTTTTTTCTCCTTCCTGAAAATGTTTGCTTTCTGGGCTTTGAACAACTAAAAGCTTGTCAATGATAACAGTATGCAATACATAGCGTAAACAAAATGTAAA